TTGCTGCGGAATATCGAAAGGGTATAGCTAGCGTCTCCGAAACGCGACGAACATTTCAACAATCTGATGGCTGAAGAGGAATCCCAAAAGTTGCCGGAAGCGATGAGCCTCGCGTGAACTTGGAAGAGGTGTTTAACAATACTGGACACTTCTACAAGTTTGAAACTCAACGGGTGCGATAGACCTGGATGTAGCGAATTGGCGAATAGAAGGAACTCTTGCCATTCATCTCCAGCTTGGATTTTTAGAGTTGAGTCAGAGATGGATCCGGAAATCGCCATTAACCCACGGTCATATCTCTGTCAGGACTCAGAAGCGTCAATCGATTGGAGAAGTTGGGGCAGCGAAGGAAGGACGACAAAGGAGAAATCGTTCAGTGTAAAAACCTTAAGAGAATCTGTTGAGATAGCCGGAGAGTTCCTTCCGGTTTAGCTGAACCAAACAAACCAAGTTAAAGCAAGCAATTAAAGAAGTAAAAATGGATTCGATGGAGCTTTTTATGTAACAATATTTAAATTGAGTGTGGCAATAAGAAAGAAAAAATTATATTCGCGAGACTTTTACAGTATATAGATTAGTTTGATGATTTTTATATTTTATTCAAATTAACTGTTAATTAAAAAGTTCGTATTTTAGTTATTCGTTTAAAAAAATGCTAGACTGCGACAAAAGGCTATTCAGTCGAGTTTGGGTAGATTTCATTTGGGTCTTAGTCTCTATGAATTTTGGTTTGGTAAAAATATGAATCATTTTGAGTCCGGGTATAACTTTAGAATACTGAAATATAGCTGAAATATTTTGATTATAGTTGAGATTGGGTATTCGGTTATTTATCACCCGAAAATCCAAAAATATACCAAAAAATACCTGAAAATTCATAAAAATATTTTTGAATTCGATTTAAAAAAATTAAATAAAATTAAAATACTGAAAATATATCTGAAAATCCAAAAAATATATATTTATATATATATATATAATATCCACAATATCCATAATTCGGATACCCGTTCGATTCGGATATTACCCAATATCAACAGGTATTAAATATCTACCTAATGGATGATTTACCATATACCCAAAATCAATCAGGTACGATTCTTTTAGGTCGGTACGGTTTGGGTTTTCGAATATTGGTTAAAAGTCTCATGCCTATGGCAAACATTTTACGAAATTTGATTTTAGAAAAAATAATGAGCAATATACATTTATATTTCGACCACATGTTAACAAATCTGGAAAAATATAAGAGACCAAATATTTACAAAACTAAAATAACAATTAAAATATAAGTAAAAAAAACTTTGTAATAGTCATAACTCACGCATCGCGTGGGCTTAGCCCTAGTTTTAAATAACGAATAGACTTGAAATATCTGACGACTGCTGAAAACATATGTTGTCTTAATACAAGCCTTTTTCTTTTTGGCGAAATCGAAACAAAATTATAAATCCTAAACCCTTTGCTTGGTTTCCTTTTTTTTCTTGTCAGTCGAGGATGGAGGAGGGATTCGGAGGGCTGAGACACATGTTGACGATTGTGTTCCTCTCTGGATTCATGGTATCAGACAGAAAATATTCAGGACAGAACAAGAACATCAGCTTTCAGTATTTTAGCTGGTATCAAAGGTTCGAGGCCCAACAACTTGTTTCTGAGAATTCAGCCCCTATTTAACAACGATGGATCATTCAGCCCCTTATTCTCAAGCCAGAACAAGAAAATCAGCCCTCATCTTCTTGGATCATCCCAAGTTCGAGGCCCCTATTTAACAAATTGAGATTTTTTATTTATTTAGTAACTGACTATTTTTTTAAAAAAATATATCATTATTGTTAGGGTACCAGGCTTGTTTCTCAGGGTACCATCATCCAGCCCCTTATTCTCAAGCCAACACAAATCAGTAGTAACTTGTTTCTCAGTGGCGAGTTTCAGGCTTGCAGTTGCTTTAGCGCCCTGAGTAGCAGGGAAGAGTCCAGTGTCGTCAAGCCGATATCCTTTGGATTCAGCTAGCAATCTCAGCCTGCAGTGTCCATGGCATATAGATATGTTTACCAACAACACAAATACACAATACACATTTGGTGACATATATCATATTCATACATACCTTCTGTTCAACACGTCGTTCCCTGTCCATGCATACCTTTTGTTTTATATTGCACCCTTAATTTTTTTATTTTTTTTTGTTATATTCTAAACCAATCAACAACATCTCGAGTGAGGAAGTGTGATTAAAAGAACTCATCATGTATTAAAAGAGAAGAGTACTCAATATATGTCTTAATTTGTGTCCCATGAACTTTTTCAAGTTCAAACAGTAAAAATGAGGCAGTGAAGTGGATGTGCTAATGGTATTGTACACAATAACTAGTGTCAATATATGTATGTATTAATTTGTTCCTCATCCATAGCCTCGCCCATTTAAAATTTGAAATCCAATGGGCTCCCTCTATTTATATTTCTGTTCCGAAGTTGAAATTTCTCGTTTTTGTTTAACAAAGAATATCAAACAAATAGTTACGAGATTGCTTGGTTGACTTGGCCTGTACAGTGGTCGCCTGGCCGGTCTAAAACAAATCAAATGTATGCTATTTTATAGAACTTCTGAACAAATTGCAAAGAGTTCATAATAAACTAAAGTTAAATGTACCAGCTATATGTCTATTAATTTAGAGCTAGTGAGATAGGCAGAATATCCAAATTATGAGATCTGATCAAATCCTGTAGATCATAGAAATTTGAATATTAAACTCTTCGAATCTAATATATATATGTGGATAATGAAACACTCAAACACATATGCATTTGTTGAAACTGGATTACGATCGTGATATGTTTGACTTACTATAAGTAAATGACTTAATCTAATATCACACGGTTTCTTGAAATGTCTTTTAATCTAACTGATTTTCTCTAAGTTAAACGATAGTTTCGACCTTAAGAGAATCCAAACTGAGAGCCTTTTTTGTCACGATCCAGTTGTGAGCTCAATTAATAATACTATAATAACAGTATTATTTCCAATAAAAAAAATTAGCTATAGGTACGAAAGCAAAAGATTATAGAGATTTGGTGACTGATAAGAAGTAACATATAGATACGCATAATGACCGATTCTTCAATCAAAGATACCGTATATATAGTTTATTCATTAATGTAACTAAAGTATCATAAGAAAGAATTCACGGAATCGAATTCTTGTAAGGTGAACACTTTTCCGATTACCGTGTGAGTGGAGTCAAATTGCGATCTCTGCGTCACAATTTTATTAGTATTTAAAAAAAAAAAAATAGATAAGAGTTAAGGTTATGAAAATGAGTAGTGCTCCTTAGGCTATCGCACTTGCTTGTGGACATGATGAACCGATATTTTAATGTAAACTTCGATACATATAGAAACTGCCTCGCCATAAATCTAGTTTACAATACATGTAATTTTTTCATACACTATACATATATCATAGTTTACAATCTAGTTTGTTATTCCTCCAAATAGCTTAGGACTCAAAGATACGGTTTAGTAACTATCACAAAGAAATTTAGTATATGTATGTTATTCCATTTCAAAGTCTATAGATAAATTTGTTGAATATGTTGGTGAGTATTGCTTTTCTATCTCATAAAATATAATTTTGGAGGAATTCTAGAATGTAGATTTCTTAACATTTTGTTAACCTAGCACATAAAGGTTGATTTTCTATTTTTATACAATTATACTCTAATAAGAAGCTGTGAGATATTTCTGGTAAAAAGTATAATAATTAAAAAGAAGAAAAGAAATACTTCTAGTAAAAAGTATGATAACTAAGAACATCTTCTAAAATATAATGTAAAAGAAAAAAAAAAACCAAGCTGTCACAATCTACGGGATCCAATGAGAAGATAAACTAACACATTTAAATGTATATATAGCCAGCCTACCTGGATCCTTAGCCAAACAAATCTGTATACTTCTTCCTCACATATCTCTATTTATGTAAAAAAAAGTGAGGAAAGTGACAGAACCAAAAAAGAAAGTGAAGAAAGTGACAGAAAAGGACAGAAAGAGAGAGACAGAGATAGAGAAAAATGGAAGAGACAAAATCAAGATTCAGGAGGATCTGTGTCTTCTGCGGAAGCAGTTCCGGCAACAGAACCACTTATCACGACGCTGCTCTCCAACTCGCAAACCAACTGGTTCCTCCTCTCTCTATTTCCACATTTTATTTACTTCTGTTCCTCTCGCTTTATGCCTATTTAGTTAACTAATTAAGAATTGTATTACGATAACAGATTTTGGATTTTACTATTTCGTTATATGCTATGTCTTTCTTTTTTATGGCAATACATTTAACCATTAACGTCAACTAAAAATGCTTCCGAGGTTCCAACAAAATGCTAGTGGTTAAATGTATTGCTAAGTGTATGCTGTATGGGGAAAATTAAGTACCATATGATTGTGTAGTTTACGATCGTATTAACGAATACAATTCACTTCTTCAACCAATACATTCCACCTTGCTAATGTTTAGTGTTTGTGTTAAACGGATGGAAATTACTTTGAATTAATAAAACCAACTAAAAGATTAGGTTACGTATGTATAATTACAACTTTATAGAACATATAAGCTGCATCTTTTTGTCATTAATAACACATATATGTAAATGTGAAAGGTTGAGAAAAACATCGATTTGGTGTATGGAGGAGGAAGCGTGGGGCTAATGGGTCTCATATCTCAAGCTGTTCATGATGGTGGTCGTCATGTTCTTGGGTATATATCTCTCTATTTTTTAGTTTTTAAACAAGTAAACAATAAAATATTAGAGGGCTCAATTTATCTGTATGACTGTTCATTCAAAGCGACACTCCATCATTCTGTTTTGGCCTTCCCATGTTCTCTTCTTGCCTTTCAAATGGGTAACAATATCATAAATATCAATTCGACTGCTTCAAAAGATAAATTCTTTTTAAAATATAGTTTAATAACTCTAGTACTCTACTGAGTTTTTTTTTTAAAAAAAATGTATATTTCTACTTAGTTTTTCAAATACATATGTTGGAACATACTTATAATCGGTGTTCAGGCTTTTCTACACTAATTTTAGAGAAAGTCTAAGTCCAAAGGGGGGGGGAAGGCAGATGTATTTAGTTCCCCTTAAACATATTCTATTAAAAATTGAACTTTACTGTTTCAAAGAAATTTGGCCCTTAACCGAAAGAAAGTAAAGAACGATAAGAATCTTTGACCATTAAAGTAGGGTGAGTAAACTAATGATTTGATATAATACTCTTTACTGATAATTATTTACATTATATGTTGCATGTAATGCAGGATCATTCCGAAGACTCTAGCACCAAGAGAGGTATTTACAAGTCTACTATACATTTGACGAGCACTGAAACAATTTATATATACTCGTCGTAGTTAACAATAAAATTCTTTTGTGTCGTCCTAATGAGTTCTTTTAGTAAAATATATGTGACTTTAAACTGATTATGATGAAATGATGTTGGGTTTAGATAACTGGTGGATCAATTGGAGAAGTTATAACAGTGTCGACTATGCACCAAAGGAAGGCTGAAATGGGTCGCCAAGCGGATGCCTTCATTGCACTTCCTGGTTTGTTTATTTATTTATATCATCTGTCGATGAATTTTGAAACGATTAGGTGTTTGTATATGTAAAATCATGGAAGTTTAGTAAAATCATTTGTGTGGTGTTGTTTGACAAACAAAATAGGTGGATATGGAACATTTGAAGAGTTGTTGGAAGTTATCACCTGGTCTCAACTTGGGATCCACACTAAACCAGTAAGTAATCCTCAGTTTCGTTTAATCATCATCCCTTGAGATTTGGGCCGGTAAATCCGGTTATCCGACAAAACATAAATAGTAGTTTTGTCCCAAAAAAAGCAAAAATTTAGAGAACACCAAAACCATACCGTACATACTAATCAAATGTAAGCATAAACCGATACACGTAAGCTCGAAGACCCTTTAGAACATGTTAAAAAAAAAATGCGAAAACGTTGAATAACATACATATAATAAATAGTATAATGTGAAGTTTTTATTTAAAAATGCAGGTGGGACTATTGAACGTGGATGGATTCTACGATTCACTATTAACGTTTATAGATAAGGCAGTGGACGAAGGCTTTGTCTCCTCCACCGCCCGCCGTATCATCGTCTCTGCCCCGACCGCTCCTCAATTACTCCAGCTTCTTGAGGTTTATTTCCTAAATTCTGATTATTCCACTCTTGTATAGCTAAAATGTGTGGATAAAGAGGATAATTAAATTTATTGTATTCATGTTTGTAACTGTAGGAGTATGTTCCAAAGCACGACGACTTTGTGTCCAAAATGGTGTGGGACGACGATATCACAGACTCTCCCACTTCTGAAGGCGATTTGTATAGTTAGATTTATTCATACGTATAATGTCTTTTAACACGTTTTTCTCTTGATCCATTATTCAAAACCTTGATTTGTGTATAATTTCTCTCTTATTTCATTTCATATATATGAGCTCTAATTATCGAGTACTATTTTTTTTTTTTAACACTGGATTGACAAATCTATTAGACAAATATGAGAACTGTTACAAGACAATTCTACAACGGACGATTCTACCATCTCCAAAGGCTCCCCGGCCGACGGCTCCGAAACCCAGACCTCCTGATGTAGAAGCATTAAATCCCTTCAACCACTAGGCTAAGAGGCTTCCACAAAATTGTACTATTTATTAAAAGGGAATTTTGTTTTTTAATCAAGCGATCATTATATTTTCTCCTTGTTGTCGAGGGCCTAGGCCACTTCAAATTCCCTTCACGAGATAACAAAAACAGCCCAGTGGGCCTGGCAGAGAAAAGAAACCGGTTAAAATCCATTACATTTTGGTCTAATCTCGATTGGAATAAACCGGTTAAATTCTGTTTTGAACCGGTTTGATGGAGATATGATATCTCCTTCTCTTCTCCAAATCCCCATCTTCAAATCACAGTTTGTGTCTTATCCTTTTATCATTTTGTTTCAGAGAGAAAACAGAGAGAGAGAGAGAGAGAAGAGAGAATCCATGCAGTAGTAAGTGATGTCTCTTGAGCAATGCAACAAGAAGCTCTCTCTTTCCTCTCCTCCTCTTTCCCTTCCCACCACCACCATTTTCCTTCACTTTCTCGCCTCCGATTCCACAATTTTCCCGCACTTTCCTTCAAACCAAACACCTCCACCTCATCTCTCTTCTTCCCTCCCAAATCCCCAGATATCCCCTCTCTCCCCTCCACCACCACCGAAACCCTAGAATCCGACATCCACGAGAAGCTCCTTTACCTCGATTCCCTCGGAATCGATTTCCTCACGCTAATCAACCGCCACCCTCCTCTCCTCTCCGCCGCTCTCTCCGCCATTAAATCCGTCGTCGATTACATGACCACTCCACCAATCAACTTCACCCTGCCGGATTTCCGCCGCCTCGTCTCCATGTGCCCGGAGCTTCTCACTTCCCCACTAACCTCCCACACGATCCCCGTCATCACTTTCCTCCTCCGCGAAGTCGGAGTCGACTCCGTCTTCGATCTCCGCCAAGCCTTGCGCCGCCGTCCTATTTTAAGGGAATGCAAAAGAAGGAGTAATTTCACTAACCAAACGAAAAGAAATAAAGTAGGTTTGCGTGTTTACATTTATAATACTAGAAACACAGGTCAGGAGCACATTATAATTTACATTCATACATTAGAATCCTACATTCATACATTAGAATCCTACATTAGAATTTGAGCACATTCATATCATATCTCATTTCCCTCCTTTAAGCTGGTTCTCTTCCTATCCTGAGGTTTACTAATAAATCTGATCAAGCTTCCAAATAAAATATTCAAAAAACATTGACTCAGAAACACGTTCATGTTTAGAGAGGTTACTGCATCACAGTTGGGGCATGAACTTCCTCAATAAGAGCTTCACCATCTTTCGGAGCTAATGGTTTCTCCGTTTCTTCTTCCATGGGTTCCTCTTGATTCTCCAATACTTATTGTAACGAAGTTTCATCCAGAGACAGTGTCTAGAGAAGAGTGAAGACCACACACAAAAAAAAAAAACCCAGAAGAGTCAAAAGTCATGAAGAAGATAAATTTAGTTAGTAACAACCTCTGCTATAACTGCGTCGATAAGCTGCTCAGCAAAATCTTGGAGAATCAAGAGGAACCCAAAATATAAATCCTGCTCAGCAATACTTCCAGTTATACCCACTGCTCTTTATGCAGACTTCACATCAGGCTCTGAATCCTTCAAAGCATTCGGTCACCAAAATTAGGCCGAAAATACCGTAACGTTGCCACAGCACCAATCTCTAGATACCTACATAGTAATTGTCTCAAATAAACAAAATTCCAGCACATCATACTGACAAAAGATTTCAAAACAGAACCATATCAAGTAAGTCACTTTTGGAGATGGGACATAGATTACGCGAGTGGACTCAGCCTCCCCGTTATTATTTCCACCATCGACATGACTGTTTTTATCACAAACCTCATTTAGAGAAACACCATTGTTAACATGGTGAACACAGCTCTTATTTGCAGCTTCCTCCGCCTACATGTCCTCATAATCATATACATAACATTCTTCAGAAGGAGGACCCGACGAAGGCTCGCGTCACATTTCCCGTAGATAGTATTCTTAATCTTCAGGACTGCAGCAAAGTGTGTTGATTCCAGGTATGTAGAAAATGCATGCATTGTGTGATGATGGCTTAATTGTTCTTTCTTCAGTATGACTAACTTCTTCTTGCTTGGCCTCAGAGAGATTAGGCTCCGGTTGTGAAGAAATAGTTGGAGCTATAGGTTCTGAAGGCTCTTTGTCCTGCAAAATGCGAATAATCAGAAAATTAAAAAGATTATCAAAACTTTCTTGCTTGTAATGATGGTCAAATGATTGGTTGATTGAAGCAAACCTTGTGGGGTTTTTCTTCTTCTTCCTCTGCATCGAAGTTGCACATGGTCTCAACCTTAAATGATCTCCTCGCTTTGATTTTAGGAACCGAAGCTGCACAAAAGGATAACTTGAATACAACTTTGAACACAAACTCATTTTGATTCTGCGCACAAATTACCATATTTTCCCCTAATTCTATGATTCTTGACATAACTAAAACATAACAGTCACGCAAGAAAGCTTAACTTCCTTCCGCTTTTTCAGATTTCAATCAATCAAAGATTATTTTTTTTGCAATGGAGAGACTGTTTTAAACGTGCAATAGCTAATTTCGCTTCTCACAACAGATATCAGTAAACCCTAATTATCACTAATCGGATTTAAATCCACGAAACTGAGACCAAATTCCGATATCCAAACCACATATCTGATAACAATAATCACCCAATCTGTTCCAAAACCTAGGATCTAGAAACTAAAAACAAAAAGAGAGCAAAGAAACTCACGAGGGTAAGAACTCGTACGTTTGGTCAATCATTATCGTCATAGCTATACCCGTTGATTCCTCTGTTGTTGCTTCCATGCTCAATCACAAATTCACAAACCGAATCGAGTCAGAAGAAATGTATAGAGAGAGAGAGAAATGAAGAGAATTTAGATAGAGTTAAAGGTTCTTTCGTGGAGCACATACCTTTTGGTCGAGCAGAAGCACGACAACGCCGGCGCCTTTTGCTCCTGTTGCGATGCGCGGAATGTGGACTGAAGCGACATCGTGAGCCGGATGGGAAGAAGAGAGGAGGGAGTCGAGAAGACGGAACCTTCTGCTCTATAAAACATAAAATCAAAACGACGTCGTTTTGGAGTCACAGAGGAGGGGACAAAACGACGTCGTTTTGGAGTCAAACGGGAGTTAAAAAAAAAAGAGATGGCGTGACACTCTGGGAGTGCTGATGTGTCATCAGCTGGAGAATGTCACAAGCCCTTTCAATTATATAGATTTACAATTTTGACATTTCAATTTCATCTAAGTAACTTGTTTTTCAGTTTCTTTCTAACAAAATCTTCTGTTTTCCCGTTCTGTTGAGAAACCCTAAAAATGGACGAGAAATCCTTTTCGATGCTGTCCGGAAATTTCAGTTTTTTCTCCTTCATTTTTCGGCAGAAATCCTTAAATCAAAGAAACACTTTTCGATTCATTCATGCAGTGTTTCGAGAATGGTGTTCTGTTGTTGCCGATTTTCCGGCGATTAAAACGTCGACGGCTCACCAGCGCCGTGATTAACAGTCAATTATTTAGAATAATGAAAAAAAAACTTAGTTTTCTTGTTCTTTTAGCTTGAAATATATTAGAATCTGATAGATCTACAGGTTTGAGGTTCAACCAATAAACAAAAACGGAAAAAAATGAGATATTTGATGAAAAATATGGCTGACGGTCGCAAAGGTTGCAGAACTCAAAAACCCTAAGAGAAAGACGAAGGGGTAATTACAGTTTGCCACTCATTAAAGAAAAATCAAATGTGTATTATGGCATTTCACAGCAATTCCCTAAACCCTAAACTCTAAAACCAACAACTTTTTTCAATTTCTATCATAAATCTACCGTTCTCCACAGTTTTTCAATATAACTCTACCATTTGACCATAAATCTATCGTCATTGTTAGTTTAAAACGGTTTTTCAACAATCAACATGTTACTTAATCTATCATCATAGTTAATAAATGGGTTTTGTGCAAAAAAAACCAGGCAACTAAATTAATTTTGCAAAATTAACCCTCACCTTTTTTCTGTGCAAATCAATCCCCCCAACTCAAAAGTCACCCGCTAAACAGCCCTTCGCCATATTGTCGACGTGGTTCGTTTTTGTCCGCGAAAAAAAACTCAAAACTCTGCGTTTTGGACTGTAAAACGGGACGCTGTTTTTCTTTCTGTATGTTGTTTTTGGACAAAACTAAATCAAGTGTAAATCAATGTTGTCGGGTTTTGAATTGGGGAAAACTAAAATCTATTTGGGGGAAAAAATTTAGGGTTCTTGGCAATTTATTTGACCGTTTCTCCTCTTAAAATTGATTTGGGGAAGTGGAATCGTGGTTAATTGGGCGAGATAGAAGATGGCTTGACTTATTTCAGTTCCATGTTTACTGATTTCTCAATCATGCCTGAAATCGAAAACTTTGGTTGTGTGGTGGATTTACTATCCAATCGAACCATGCTAATTTTGTGATGCTTTCGAACATATATGGAGATATCGGGAGGTTTGCTGATGATGCGAGGCTAAAAGTTTCTATGAGAGACACTGGTTTTAAGAAAGAAGCAGGTTTTAGTTGGATTGAGACCGATGATGGTTTGGTGAAGTTTTATTCTTCGGGAGAAAAGTATTCTCAAACAAAGAAATTACAGATGATCTTGAGAGGGCTGAAGAATTTCAATGTCCTGCTTGATGAAGAACATTTTTTTAAGTTGTTATTTGATTCATTGGATAAATACTCTGTTTTTTTCACGACAAGAAACAGAGAACTCTGCTTTGTGCAAGCGAACACATGGAACGGAAACAGAAACAATGTTGCAGTTTCTGTTTTTTTGTTAAAGAACAATGTTGCAGTTTCGTTCACGACAGGAATATATACACTAATGTAACAGGAAAATGTGCATTAAGAAACACACCGTATGGAACTGGTAACACTTTCATATAATACCAAAAAGTATTGCACCAGATTTCAAGCTGATACCCAACGATAAGCCAACCAATAATACCTCTAATCAAGTAAGAATGACTACAATTCTACTCATATTTGAGCAATTCCATTTTACTTTAAATGGAGTTGTATCTAGTAATGAAATATGTGATTCACGAACAACGTTTTAAGGTTTAGCTTTGTTTTCAGGTGTTAATGGGGATAAAAAGAGAAGGAGTGTGATAAAACCATAACTCAATATATCAAAGACGAAACATGAAGTGGCTTTCATTAAAAACAACAACGGGTCTACAAACTCCCATCACGTCGCGATGAACGAGAAATCCCAAAACCAACTAAAAAGTTTTAAAGATCAAGTCGACCACACGGGTACTGTAACCCCATTCGTTGTCATACCACGACACCAGCTTCACGAAGTTGTCGCTCAATGTAATTCCAGACGGGCATGGGATTCTCTCTCGTTGAAAAATAACTCAAATCTTCTTTCTTCACCTCTTAATGTTATCTCTCTCATTGCTTGACACTTTCTCCTACTTTCTCTTTAGCCATGATTGCTCTGCTCTTCATCTACTCCTCATCTTCTTCTTCTTCTTCTTCTTCTTCTTCTTCTTCTTCTTCTTCTTCTTCTCCTCATATGGGTCTCCCTCCCACTTCAATCCAAACTCAACATTCTGCATCCAAGAAGCCACCATTGAAGACATTAGACTTGCTTTCAAGGAAAAGAAACCGGCATCAAAGCAGCTCGTTGATTTTCGAAGCAATCTCCAAACTCAATCCGATACTCCACGCAGTCATCGAGACGAATCCAGATGCATTGATCGAAGCAGAGATCGCAGACAGAGAACGTGACCTCAAGAGACAACAATAAGCTTCATCAGTAAGTAGAAATCGCAGAAAATCAATCACCAACTCCAAGAACCCTAATATGGATTTTCTCCAAATCGATTTTAGTTTTCCCCCATAATAATGTTTTTAAAACCGGACCAGTGACCGAACCGTAAAAGTTTTGGGTCATGGGTCAACCCGGTTCGACCAGGTTCTGTGATATATTAAGAATATATCAAATTCACCTTAACAAACATAAGTATAAGAAACAAAAACGTAAGACAATGGTTAAATAAGTTGATGTGGTCCAGTGGTTATCATATTTCTCGTACAATTTAGAGGTATTAAGTTCGATCCTCAGCAACACCGTTTTGGCATCATAGTTTTAATTCAAAAACAAAAGAAAAATTAATATTAAAATTGCAAACCCGGGTTAATCCGGTTTAATGGTTCGTTGGTTTCTGGTTTTCAGCCGGTCGAATCTGGGTTGTTTCCGGTTCAACTACCACTGGTTTTCAATGGCAACCCAAACCGCTCCTTCTCCCGGTTCGTGGTTGAACCCGGTCGGACCACCGGTCCGGTCCGGGTTTAAAAACATTGCCCAATATGAAACCTTGTGACAATTTCATTTCATGTGTTTTACTTTGGTCCGAAAACGGCATCGCGACCAAACCTGTGTCCCATTTTGATGTCCAAAACGTAGTGTTTGGTGGTTTTTACAAGGTCAAAAAAGAAACACGTCGACAATATACTAAAGGGTTATTTAGCGGGTGACTTTTGAGTTGGAGGGATTAACTTGCACAGAAAAAAAAGTGAGGGTTAATTTTGCAAAATTAATTTAGTTGCCTGGTTTTTTTGCACAAAACCCTTAATAAATCTATTGTATCATAGTTATGATTAGATTTATATAAGCTAATCTACCATCAAACAAAATATATCTACCGCAAGTCCATTTATCTACCAATAACTACAAAATCTACCATAACTACACGTCTATTGTCACCGCGAATAAATCTACTGGAAGATTATAAATCTACCATTAAGCAAAATAAATCTACAACTTTCGACTGATAAATCTACCGAGCGCTATTTAAATCTGCCACTCGTAACAAAATTTTACCACATCTAAAAAGATGTACCATAACTAAAACATAAATCTACTATCCTTTTCATAATTCCACCGTAGGCTAGCAACTCTATCAGTACTATATATTATGTAAGTCTACTGCACTCTTTATAAATCTCCGAAAAATGTTATAAATCTACCATCTCCATATAAATCTACTGTGTAATGAAATATATCTACCTTTCTATATTAAATCTACCATGAAGCGTATGGTAGATTTAATATTCCGCGGACGATGACATGGCAAAAATTCATTAATGACAATCTTGTAAATAGTTTTTTTTTAATACAAAGAAAGATAGATAAAAAATGTATGAAACTATTTTTAGTAATTAAAAAAACATTGAGTTGTTATAATAATAAGAGCATGTCCATCGGTGAGACCCATAAATAGAGTATCACAAAATTATTATATTAGTTTAATTTAAATTTATAATTAAATATATAATCCACACACATAATGACACATGTATTTTGGGTCTCTTGTACTGTTGGAAGAGTATGTCTAACGAGAGACGTCCCAGCCTTTTACACATTCTCTCTCTTTCTTTTTTATCTTTTTCATTTATTTTTAATTATGAGGGACTGGTATATAGTCTTACCGATGGACATGCTCTAAGAGCATAATAAAAGATTGTTATAGTTATTCACCCTATTTTATAAACGTTATGTTTTATATGGTTGGGACTTTCGATTCATTCCATCAAATATATTTGATATTTTAGTGTTTTTAATCAGGATTCATATTCTTTTGGTAAGATAACTGATTGTGAACAGTAAAACCAAAAATAAAAACTAAATTGTGAACAGTATGGTTGATTTTGAGAAACTATGAATAGCGATAACAAAAAATATACTAGAATTATACAAAAAGTCAAAATCAAACCAGTCCCTAGCGAGATCATTTAGAGCACATGCATTGCACAGCTTCTCTAATATTCTTTAAAAATAAAAGAAATATTTTTTGGAAAAAAATATCATGATTAAAAAAACAAAAAAAAAAAAATTGGACCAATCGTGTCACGACACATGTAGAGCTTGTGTTAGAGAACAGATTCCACGAGCTCTTCCCTCAGAGACATTTTCCCTTGAGCTCGCTATGTCGATGCGTCACATCACTAATTATTTGTTTTTCTGTTTTTTTTGAGGAATAACCCATGTAAAACTGTGCAATGCACTTGCTCTTAGGCTATAAAAGTTGGCATTCACACAAAAAAACATTCTAATAGCATCATGTTCGTGTTTCAAAATTTGAAATTAATTTAGTGAAACAATGATTTACCGTAAAAAACAAACCGCTCCATAGCGAGATCACTTAGGCTAATTTTAGAAAGAAATTCTAATTTGCCACAATCACTGAACCGGTTGCCCATATGCTAAAACTTAAAAATTAATTTCTTTCCATTTTCTTTTAAATAAAAAATAAGTAAAAGACATTAAAACCAAAGCAAAGTTCACCTATTTACGAATTAAATCAGGGTTATACCCGAAAACCGCAAACCCGACCCGATTTTAATGGATATGAAGGAGTAAAAATCCCTAAATTCACTATGTCGCTGTTTTTAATTTCTGTGAGTAAGAATTTGAAATCAGAAAAGACGAAGAAAGGGAAATAAAAGAATCTCAACGTAAACTGAAATTCTAAAGTGGAGAATTGTAGAGTAAAGCTTCGAATTGAGTCCATCAATGGTGGTGTTGAGAAACAGCAAAGTAACGACGGAACCGCCAGAGACGACAGAAATGGCGGAACCGTCGAACTCACAGAAGCGGCAGAACCGTCGAAGGCGACAGGCGGCGGAACCGTCGAGCGACCGAAGCGGTGGAACCGTCGAGGCCAACATAAACGGCGGAACCGTCAAAGCCGACAGAAGCGGCGGAACTGTCGAAGCCAACAGAAGCGGCGGAACCGACCAATGAATCTCCGCCGATAGAAGAAACGGAGGTGACAGGAGAGGCGGAAACCAAGGAAGCAAATCCCAAAGCAAAAGAAGCCCAAACTGAGGAGAAGATGAACTCAGAAGAAGATGAATCGGAAAAAGAAGATGAATTGGAAGAAGAAGAAGAGCACGAAGAAGAAAAAGAAAGAAGAAGCAAATGGACTCAGACGAGGATTTGTTGGTGACCAACTAGAGAACAAGGTATAATATTAAATCTTGTTTATTATGTTTACTTGGATTATGAGTTTGATAATGGAGAAGAGAATGATGATTCTGAGTTTGGTAATCTATTCAACTAAGTTCGAATATTCAATAGTTGAACTGTTATTGCCACGAAAATTACATTTCTTTGTTGTAATTTTGTTTGAACATGCAGGATGAGGAGTATAATGATGATTATGATGGCGAGGAAAATCGACAATCTCCACAACAGCAGGAAGAAATTCCTCAACCGGATCAAACCCCCAGGAAGAACCACTTCAACCGGAACAAACAGAAGACGCTGAAGCAATGCCTTCAGATGCACATGTCTCTTCTTTTGCACCGGTCATGGTAATGTATATTTTTAGAAATTCAATTCCGCAAATGGTTTCAATGAAGTTCTAGTAAGTTCGAGTAGGTTCGGGTAAAAGTATAATTAGTAACACTACATTGTTTGACTTGGCGGCAGGTTGATGATGAATATATACCACTGCCACCAGAGAAGTTTTACTTTGTCCAGATCAGTATAGAAACAGTTGTAGGATATCATCGAGGTGTTATGTGAATGATACGGTCAAGGACATCAAGAATTCCTCAGGCGTTGGAATGGTTTTCTAGTCATCCTCAGTTTAAGCATATCTTTCATATGCCTCTGGTGGAAAACCGTAAATCAAAAGGATTTTGGATGCTTCTTCTGCACCTAGCTTGTACTGATAGTGACAGAGAATTATGGTTTGTGGTTAATGGAGTACTCCATTAAGGAGCATGCGCTGCTGAGTGGATTGGATTGTCATGACTACCCTAGCAACTATGGGGAGCTGAAGGACAAGGATGCCGGCGATTTCAAGTTTGTTGAAAAGTGGTTCAAGAGAAGGACCAATATTACCATAGCAGATGTGAAGAAGAAGCTAGAAAGTGAAGAGCGCTGTTAACAAGAAGAAGATGGCTGCGCTATATTTCTTAACCAATGTCTTGAAAGCGAAGTCCAAATAAAGGAAACATAGAGCCATTCTTTCTCAAAGTCGTGGATGATTTGGACTTGTGTGAAAAATTCCCTTGGGGCCGTTTGACCTTTGATGATTTGCTAGATGAAGTTAAGAAAGTAGCGAAGAAGTTCAAGGGAGGCGTCGTCAACGAGAAGGATTCATGGACCTTTTCTGGATACATTCTTTCCTATTGAGGTAATTTTTTAATTATTTTCCTTAAATTTATGGATAGGGTCGTGATATTGTAGTACTCTCTATGTACAGGCTTTTGCGTTGAGTGCATTCCTGCGCTTGCTCGAACCTTTCGAGAACCTGTTCATGCAGAGAGCGACTGTCCAAGGTTGTGCAAGCACAATTTCAAAGCAACTTACATGAAAGGTTATCCACTGTCCGAGATAAACGAAGCAATTGGGAGCAATAGGGTGAGTATTTGTCATCATATAGTGTACTTTATTTTATCTTAATTGAGCAAGCTTATCATGAGTGTATTTAATGTGTTCATAATCGCAGGATATCATAAGCATCTTGGAACCAACCTCAGAGGAGGAAACCCTTATGGAGCGCATCATAGACCCTAGTTGTGATGATGGGATTGGCTCCGTGGATCATTTAGTCGACCTTTGGAGAGACCATTCTAATCGTCCAGAAGAAGAAGATATGGTGGGAGTCTCTGTACAAGATTGACTTGGCCGGCAGAGGTATCACCGAGTTTGCAAATGAAGTACCAATGCAGGCACCTGACAACGGTGGATCAGTTCAGGGAATGATGGAAACGATGAAAGCTTTGATCGAGGAAGCAACAAAGAAGTTGGAGGATAAGATGGATGATGTTACCTCAGAGATTAAGGCAATGGTTGGGGACTTAGATGAGAGACTTGATATGGTTGAATGTTATGTCAATGAGCAACGAACCAAGAAGGCTCATGATAGAAGCGGAGCAAGTAGTTTTCCTCTAGGTTCTGCTTTTCTGGACTCCGGCCGAGAAGAAGAAGAAGAAGCAAGTAGTAGAGGATGAGAGTGAGGCGGAGGAAGGAGAAGGACGGAGGAGGAGGAGGAGGAGGAGGAGGAGGAGCAAGTAGCAGAACCGCCAAAGAAGAGAAGAAAAGAAACTCCAGAAAGAGAAAGAGAAGAGGACAATCAAACCTTCAGCTATTCTCTCATCTCCATATGTGGCTGGTCAGGCAAATAGAAAAAGAAAAAGCAAGACAAGTGGAAAAGGGAAAGGAGGTGCAAAGGACCGTACAACACACGTAGAAGCGAGGTGAAACGTCTCTGTGTTTAGGAAGTTATGTATTGTGTACTATCTCTGTGTTTTATGACTTTGGATTGTGTACTATTTCTGTTTTTGAGTTCTGCACAACTATGTTTGCATAGGTTCAATTGTGGCAGAACTGTTTTGATAATACTATGGAACAATTTTGGTACAACTGTGTTTGCATAGGTTCGACTGTGTTTTTGGATGGTTCAAGTGTGTTTGCATACTTGACTCGTGTTGAATTAATTTTTATACTGAGAAGACTTTATTGTAAAGATTAAAAGACATAAGTTGCAAACATAGTTAAGTTTTAACATAACTAAAAGACATAATTAAAACAACATAATTAAAAGACATAGTTTGCAAAACAAAGTTTACACAAATCTTAAACACAACTTAAGAAGACCTCTTAAATAGTTTGAAAAACAGAGGTCTTCATCCGCAGCAACTAAATTGAAAAATTTGAAGGTTTTGTTACTTAAACCAAACTAAGAACCAAGCAAGAAGAAGTAAAAGTGCAGCAATCGCAAACGTGCTCTCCACAGCTTTGTACTTCTTGTTGAAATCACCAATCACCAACTCCAACCTTGTAATCTCCGCTTTGCTCTGTTCATGTTCTTCCTTCAGGTCGGAAATACGTTTCTCCGCAATACGCATGTCCATGATGATGAATGTTAGCTCGCCGTCCTTCAGCTCCGAGATTAACTCCTCCATTCCGGCACGGTGGTGAGTTTGAAGACTCTCAATTTCCCCAGAAACCCGCTTGATTTCAGAGTGAAGTATTTCTAACTCCTCTTCAATCACACGATCCCACCACTTCCGAATATGATAACCGGGTTTCTACAATCAAAAATAACAAAGTTCACCATGAATCTAACAACCCTAAACCCTAGAAAGAATCTACATTAAAAGAACCCATAAATAGAAAGAATTCGGAGACATGATTATCAACTAACCGCTCGGAATTCGCAGGAGAAGTATATTTTCCCAGGGTCTTGTTCGGTGCGAGACGTTTCCCTAATGACCCTTCCACCGCAGTAACAGTGGCTCGGCATACCGTACTCACCATCTCTGATGTGATTTTCGTCGAGTGAGTATGAAGAGGAACGATGAGGTTGCAACCCAACTGTGAGGTCCCATCTCAGAAAATGAGAGAGAGAGAGAGGAATCGAAGAGAGGAATTGAAGAGAGAAAGGAAAACCTAAGAGAGAGAGAGAGAGGAGAGAGAGTGAGTGAGAATAAGAACCCTAGAAATCAATTTGGGGAAAATCTGATTCAGTTTATTTTTCTCCTTCTTTTAAAGTATTACCAAATATTGAAAATTGCGGCGGAAATAAAAATAAAACAATAAAAAAAATAATAAGATTCCCGCTTACTTTTCCCGCCGGCGGAAAAGTTAAAAATTTGCAAAATTCGGGAAAAAATGGTCATAGTTGTACTCATGCCATTCGTGAACCAAAATTAGTCATAGTTGAACATCTGCGAGTTTTGGGTTTTTGTAGTAGAACCACACCAATGTGTAATGGTCAAGTTGAACCAATGATAGTTCATCTTATTTTATCATTACAAACATTTATGTCAAAATTTTAGACAAAACTCATTTTCTTCTTAATTGGATTCACATCAATTGACACATTACCTATTGATGTACTTGCATTTTGCATAGTTTTAGTACATCTTTTATGCATCTTTTGCATAGTTTTGGCATCCATTAGCATCATATCTTGTTCTTTTCTCTTCTTATGCATTCATAGTAGTTTAGGTTGCATTTGCATACATGTGCATGTTTGATCCTTGAATAGGTCTTTTTGGAGTACTTTGGAGCAATTGGGACGTGAGGAGCAAGGAAGGACTTGGTGCATGGATTCAGCTCAACCGCACACGGCTTAGGATGAAGAAGAAAGCCGTCTTGAAGTCAGCTTCGACCCATCTACTCGACCAAGTTCCAACTCGATCGAGCTGCCGAGTCAATGGTCAAACCCGAAAAATGTTGCTTCCCCTTTGACACTCCTTTGACCCTAAACCTAATCCTTCTTGTATTTAAAGGCTTGTAGCCACGAAAAAGACAATAATCTTTAGCTTATTTTCGTTTTTGCTTTTCTTAATCTTGTAATTTACTTTTTGCAAAACCTAAGCCTCTCTTTGTGTTCTTGAGCTCTTTGCTCTTGAACCTTAGATCTAGGCTTATCTTTCTGTATTTGCACTTGCTTATTTCAATAAAAGTTCTTTAGTTTCATTCCCTCTTTCATATAATGTCTCTTTCATTGCATTTGATTGTATATTTCAATGTGTAGTGAGTAGTTATCCTTAGGGTTAAGATGGGCTAGACTAGAGGATCTTATGCTTAATCTCTTTTGCTTATGTTCTTAATCTAGAAATCTCTCTCTTTTGGACAACCTTAAGGCTACATGACCACTACCCCTGGCATGTATGAGTCTAGGCGATTTTCCTCATGGGAATGTTGGAAATCGCTTGAAAAGGTCCACTAAGAGCTCCAATATGCTTGCTCTCGAAATGGAGTTCATTTCATTAGGTTGCTAGAGTTACTTCTCATCATCCTTACTGTCTGCTTGACTTTCTTGTGTTTGCATATCCTCATAGAGAAACATCTCACCCTTATGGATTGATAATCTCTTATACTACATCGACTATGATGGTTAAGAGGAATTGATTGATTGTGATTGCACCATACCATCTCATCTTTATTCACCACTGTTTGCATTCCACCTTATATCACTTACATCATTTCATATCATTTCATATCACCCACACACAAATCCTATACTTGCTGGACCAAAAAGCGAATTTCTCTATTAACTTATCAAGTATTGGTAAGAGAGACAACTTTCTGTCTTTCCTAAACACACTGTTCACAGATTCGCAAAAATTGCTGGTGTCTAAGTTATACTTATCTTCTTCAAAAACGCACCTTGCCCACATTTCCATATCTATCCTCTTAACCAAAAAATTAGCACACGCAGGATACATCTTCGTAAACTCATCAAACTCCTTTCTACACTCAGACCCAGTATAAGCATGAGCGCATTTGATGAACTTATCAACAACATCGTCTTTCTTAACACCTTGCTGAGCATGCCCTTTTACGTTCTGAGCCAGATGCCAAATACAGTGTACATGGCGAGCCAATGGATAGACCTTCGAGACTCCATATATGATGCTTTTATGTCTGTCACTAACAAAAACGAGTTCAGGATCATCTGGTACAACAGCTTTCAGGTTTTCCAGGAACCATGGCCAACTACTATGATTTTCGCTATCAATTATCCCAAAGGCAATAGGGTAATGGTGATGATTAGGATCTTGAGCAGTGGCAAACACAAGCTGTCCACCATATACAGTCTTCAGAAACGTTGCATCCACAACTATCACTTTCCTCATCCATTGAAACCCTTCAATGCTCGCTCCCAAAGCAACAAACAGATACTCAAACCTGTGCAAAGCATCTAGTTGCACATTCGTTTTGCTTCCAGGATTTTCCTGCTCCAGCATGTACAGATAAGAAAATAACATCTTGTAGCCTTCTTCAGGAGTGCCTCGAACATCACTAACGTGTAGTTTTTTTCCTCTCAAGCCGTTGAGTATGACACATTCACACCAAGTCTACGGTGAACAACATCGACAATTGTTTTTGGAACTGGTGTGTCAAACTGACCTGGATAGTCTTCATGCAAAACCGATGCCACTAATCGTGGGTTGCCTCTCCTTCGAGAGCTGTTACTACTTTCAACAGCCCGTGAGCAGTTGTGCTTGTTCCAGTATTTTCGGACACTGAAAAAATCTGATCCACCTTTCCTCGCAGCATATATATACCAATTACAGCCTCCGCTCTTCTGAGTGCACCTTAGGATAAGTCGGCCAGTGTCAGACTTGTAAGTGCGGACACCAAAACAATGCTTGTGTGAAGCTCTGTCAACCAAATCTTGCAATGCCTCCTTTGATGGAAATTCTTGTTTTATTTCAAGACCAATACCATCTTCCCATTCTTCAGCCAACTTAATTTCTTCTACAGGACGTGAAAGCTCAAAATCCTCATCAAAGAAGTTTAACCCATCTTCCTTACTATCTGGTTCTGGACGCTTCTCGTTGCCATCCTCTTCTTTACCATCAGACTCAACCTCTTCGATATGTGGCTCTTCAATATGTGGCTCTGGCTCCTCAACATGTGGCTCTCTGAATATGGTAACGACACCATCACCTCTGTCATTTGGAACCGACTCCTCCTCGTAATTCAAACCAAATGAACTTTCTGCATCCGTTCTAGACAGGTGGTCGCTCCTATGATTTGCTCTGTTCGTGTTCTTGGTTACCTCCACATGCAAAATCCTCCTAAATCCCAGATTATCAATTGTCGTTAGATAAGCAAATAGGTCTTCATCATCAAAAATGTACATCTCTCTCGCAGGATTATTTGACATTGGAATGTAACTCAATTTCAGCAGCGGCTTAGCTCCATCTCTTGCAATCTTCCTGCATATCTTATCCACAACCGCCGAGTACGTAATCTCCTCCAAAGATGAGATCTTGAATGTTATAGCGCAAGTGGGATTCTTTGAAACCCATTTCAGTTCCTCTTCTGCATAATGACCTCCGTGGTCGAAAAATATGTTTGTGATGATCATGCTCATTGTTACCCTGCAAATATAATGAAAATAATCAATTCCCAATTACAAAACATCTCACAGTTGTACTACGTGTACCAGTTGAACTTTTACTACCATTACTTTTTAAAATGCAGTTGTACCTATATGAACCAGTTGAACCACTTAATCAACTAAGTCCCATTTGTACCACTCGTACCAGTTGTACCATCTCTGCAGGTTCCGATCTAGTTCAAATACAGTTCACTCGCTGCGATTCACAAGCTACATTACTCAAAAAGCTTAATCTACCGCCTATTCTATCAATGCATGTATACCCATCAACCTATACAATGAACACCAAAACCAAACAAATAAAGCTAGAAACTCACTTTCAATGGACTTGAAGCTTCAGCAATGGTCAAACAAACGAAAGGGAACATCCACTGTCTACGGAGGTGAAAGAGGAGGCGGAATAGGTATAGATGAGCTCAGGTCGAAGAAGATTTCGATTTAATTGATGTGAGCTCGAGCTCGAGTGAGAAGAGGATTCCGACCAAAATCGCGATTGTGATTTCCAAAATCTGCATTTAATTATTTTCGTTTTTTAAAATTGTTTTTGATTTCATTTAATTTAATTTTATTGTTTTAGTTAAATCAGAAATGTGAAAGTAAATAATGGAAAAAGTAAAAGGTGAAAAAGAGAGAAGAAAGGAGAAAAACGTAATTGCACATGTCATTGTGGCATTAGATCATCTTTTTTTTGTAAAATGTAAAGAGTTATTAGATCATAAGATTAAGTTTCCCCAAAATTGTGGCAAAACAGCCGGGCGCTCCTAATTCCTAATTCTAAACCGCATTTCCACCCCTGGTTTAATTTAAATGTCTCTCAAACGCCTAAACCGAAACGAGTCTTCGTTTTCGAAACCGGACGCTTCTAATACAAATGACTCACAAACGAAAGATGCATGTGAGGGCAACGGGCAGAGGTGGAGACAGGCGAAACTAGTGGAGCTGAACAAACTGAGAACATATTCGGGCAACTGTTTAGATCTGCCCGTCCTTACCTACCATTGGCTGTCTTGTCCGTTCGCCACTTGTCCAAATTATATTGCCTTTCTTTTTACTGTTACACATCGTGTCGTTTTCCACTCCTACTCAATACTTATTCAGTTATTCTCATGGCGGAGAAAGACGCTCTCAAGTGTAGATGGCTATGCCTTGAAAAAACGACACGCCGTGTTCTTTGGGTTTAGCCGTTTAGGCCTCCTTTTGTCATTTCGTCTCCTTCTTCCTCAGAACCAAGAAAAAGTAGAGACCTTTAACGATTTTTTTCTGAGAGTTAAGATCCAGAGATTGAATCAGCTTAATTATTTATAAAAATCCAGGTAAAATTTTGTCTTTTTTTTTCCCACCAGATTTTGAAATTATAGCTTATGCTGTTCCCCTGTGTCTTTGTATTTCATCTCGTTTTCTGGAAAATGCTTCTTAGCTCTGTAAAGTCGAGATGTGGAATTAAAGATGACTCTTTTTGTTTTTATTTGCTGTTCTGTGTTTTGTTTAATTGTTGGTTTCTGATCGAAAATTTACGGAATCTCGTTTTGGTAAATTGAATTCCGGTTTTTCCAAACACTTAGCTTCCAAGAGAAATCGTGTCGGTGTACTGTATCTGACTTTTGTGCTTTGTTGTTGTTACAGTTTTGTTCCTTGGAGCTTTGAGACTTGTAACTTAAGGACAGTCTCATGAATCATGACTTCTTCAGTGCATGAGCTCTCTGGTTTTGTCTCTCTTTCTGATGTTCTTAGCTATCCTTTAATGTTTCTAACTTCCTTACTGATTCTTGGTGGTGTATTGATTGGCCAGATAACAATGAAAGCCAGAAGAAGCAAGAACTTCCAGCTTCCCAAACCCGACAACCGGTTCCTTCAGGACCAAGTGAATCTATAGATACAAACTCCGTCTACTCAGAGCCCATGGTAATTTATGTGGAGAGTGATCTTGGTTTCGGTTATTACATGTTTGGTTTAGTTTCTTGTGATCTTGCTTTTGTTTGATACTTAGCTCATTGAAGCAGGAAATTTTTGACCTTTTCTGGTCCCATGATTATTACATTTTCTGCAATTTAGAGTTAGTAGCTTTTAAAAAAAACAGGCTTAATATGCAGTGTAATGGTATTGATTCCAAGGAATGCTAAGCTTTTTAACCTTTACTAGTTGAGAATTTGAGATGCTATTGTTTGTTTTTGTTTGTGTGTGTGTGTGTGTTGGTATTGAAGGCGCATGGGCTTTACCCATATCAAGCTCATTACTACAGAAGCGTCTTTGCACATCAACAGTATCTTCCACATCCATATCCTGGGGTATGTAATATGACTCACTCTCACTGTCTTTGGATTTTGAACATTTTAAAAAGCTTTTGTTTTATTTTATAAAGGTTTCTTTTGTCAGGTCCAGTTGCAGTTGATGGGAATGCAGCAACAAGGGGTTCCGTTGCATTGTGATGCAGTCGAAGAGCCTGTTTTTGTTAACGCAAAGCAATACCACGGTATACTCAGGCGCAGGCAGTCCCGGGCTAAACTCGAGGCACGAAACAGAGCCATCAAGTCAAAGAAGGTGAGTGAGATCCCTGAGAGGGTGACAAAACCTGTTCATCTTTTTGTGTTGATTCCTTCTAAATATGTTCTCATTTCTTGTTTTTCAGCCATATATGCATGAATCTCGGCATTTGCATGCTATAAGACGGCCAAGAGGATGTAGCGGACGGTTTCTCAATGCCAAGAAGAAGAAGAATGGAGACCACAAGGAGGAGGATGAGGAGGAGGAGGAGGAGGAAGGAACCTCTGATGAGAACACTTCAGAAGCAAGTTCCTGCCTCAGGTCTGAGAAAGCAGCCATAGCTGCTTCTGCTCCTATTGGTAGATCTTGAGGAGAGTTTCATATACATAACAACAAGTTCAGTTTCTGTTCTGTGTGGATGTTTGTCCTATAGCATCATTCTGTTTAGTGTTTTTGGATTATTCGCATGTAGACTTGTGTATAGGTAATTGCTTGGAGAAGCTAGGGTGGTGTGCGTGTGACTTTGTTTTAGTGATTAGAAATAAAACTGAGGAAAGAAATGAAAAAAAAAAAACGTGATTGAAATTATTCTTGTACCAAAATTAAATGATCTTCTTTGCCTGTGAATAAATGTTTTGTGAACTAAACAATTCTTAGCTTTGTTTGCTATGATTTTTTTTTTTTTTAGATTAAAATTTCGTCTTCGAATGTTTGTTAATCCTTTAACTTAACCTGTTGTCATCATTTCAAACATTGAGTAACTCTGAAAAAGACTTGACACTGTAAAGCGAAAAAGTTTTTTTGTTCTTGGATTTCACACATGCATATTACATATTTCATATATGTCAGTATAGGGTACTTGTATAAATTACTAGGTTATCTAAGTTTCAGTCGCTTAACATAAATTTACCATTTCCTTAACAAATAAAATTTATAAATCATACTGAAGATTAAATATTTGTGTAGTTACTAGATATTTCTTAAATGTTTTAAACTCCAACTTGATTTGGTATCTATCTAGTGTTTTCTAATTAAAAATGATAATAATAATTTAGGTTGCATGAAACTCCATCCGACTGCATTTCCACGTTTCAGACATGGAAACTGTCAGAAACTTTTTAGAATTTCGTAGAAAAACGTCTCATAATTTTTTTCAAATTGCAAGTTCCGAAACGGAAACTGTCAGAAACTTTTTAGAATTTCATTTTTCTCGTCTCCTAATTTTTTTTTCAATTTTCAGTTTGAAAACGCGACGAAATCACCTGTTTCTATTTTCCAAACTTGATGGAAACTTATTTTTTTGTTTGTTTTGTAAACATGATAAATAAATAATTCAAAACCAATAAAAAAAGATTAAATGATTGAGTAAGTTAATGATTAATTTGATTTATTGGATGAGATTCAATTTGGAATTAAAATCTTTTTCTGGATAAACCATAATTGAAGAGCATTTTAGTTGATGGAATTTATAAAAATGATCTTTTTTTTTTGACATTGAACATTTTGATCTGTATCTTTAGTTAAATTATTTAATATTTATGTACTGGACTTGTGTTGATTTAAAAAGCTTACCTTTAATTAAAATTAGGAAAATGCTCTATAATGAGTTTTTATTTTGAAAAATACCCTTGTTTTTAGAGTTTTGAAAAGTACACTTTTGTATATAAATGATAAAATTATCCTAGTTTCAAGGTTCTAATTAATTTACCAAAATCAAAATTCAAGGGTATGAAAGGACGGGACGGGATGAAAGGGTCATAATGGGATGAGAAGGGACGGGAAAAAAATTTCACCTACCCCTAATTATATTTAGGGACCGGACAGAGACAAGACAAAACGGAAAAAAAAAATATAATAGGATACGATGGGACTCGATAGGGCGGACATGACAGAACGTGACAAGGAAAGAACGGGACAAGATGAGAAGGAATTAAATGGGACGGGATGGGACTATACGAGAATTTTTTCTATCCTTAGTTATATTTACGGAACGGGACGAGAAGAAACGGAAGGAACATGATGAGACATAACAAAATGGAAAGGAACATGATAGGACGGGACGGGACAGACAGGACGGATGAGACGAGAAAGAATGGATATGATGAAAATGAACGAAATGGGATATAATGGAACAAGACGGTACGTTAAATTTGCCTAATCCTAATTATTTTTAATTAATATGTGTAATATTTTTGAAACAATAATTAACAATAGAAATAAACTAAACTTGTGGAAAAAAAATTAACACAATAATATAAACTTGAAGTAAATATTACCATTTTCGGAACGTGCAAACAAGTCTCTATATAACTATTGTATTACCATTTTCTAAATCATTGAGCGAAAGTAAATATAGTCTAAAGTTCAAATATGTCTTTCTTTTACATCTCTCTCTCTATATATAACTCTATTTTTACTTTTTAGTGATGACAACGCCAGACCTAAAGCAACTTGCCAAACGCCTAAATAGCTTCCTTTAGAAGTGTTAAAGTAGATATTCGATTCTCTCATATATTGTAATGTAATATTCAGGCATTTGCATATTAATATGGGCTCATAAGTGAACCTCAAAAAAACAAAAAATCACATTACAATAAAAACTAAAAATGTACATTGATCCAGTTAAGGTTTTACACTTTAACTAAAAGGTAGGTCTACATCAAATCAAAACATACAATGTATTTGCTACAAAACATTAATTTGCATATTGGACTATAATGTTAAACATGGACAAGTTGTAATTTTTTCTAAGAATATGTCTGAATTAAGTCAAAGGAGAAAACAAATGCTGACTTTAGTATTTCCAATTTGCTTTGAATTTCACCAAATAGTTATAACAGGTAACAATATAGCAATTTAGTATGTTGACTAAAATAAAATTTTGATAGACCAATTTTTTTTTTTCTTTTGACCAATATATTTTTTTTCACAAAATCAACCCTCAAGTTTACCCCTTACTATACATGAATATAAATAGGGGAGGTCTCTCCACCATGAATAATACTCAACAATAATTATAAAATGAATAAAAGAGAACATATGCTTTCCATCATTGATTTTGTTTCAGTACTATTCTTGATTGTAGCGGCTCATGCTGCTAAACCTCGTGGAGGTAGCGGGTTCGATGAAAACAATGTGGTTACGTGGGGAAATGTCTTGAAACTCAAACAAGGGAGAGAAGTTCAGCTCACCATGGATAGAGCTCAAGGTTCATTGATTTCTTCCTTTTATTATGCGATATATGTCGCCAAAACTCAAATTTGATATTGTGCTTGTACGTTATTGTAGCAAGCCCGGTCGTAGGATAGACAGACTATGTCATGGCCTAGGGTCGCTAATTGTTTGAAATCATTTTCATAAGCCACATGTATTATTAAGGTTAATATAGTTTGTAGGCTACAAAGTTTTAAATTTATGGTTTTAAGAGCATCTCCATTGGTGAGATTTCTCTAGGAGTTTTCACCAATAAAAAATCATTTTTTTTCTTTTTTTTGTGTTTAGAATTTAATCACATATTATGTTCCCCATTGGTAAGATACTCATTGGGGTTCTCATTTTATTTTTATTTTTTTTATAATTTAATTAAAAATTTAACATATAAATTTTAATCTTAATTTATAAATTCTTTTATTAATAATTCGAAAATACCAAATTATAACTCTTTAATTAAAATATTTGTACCAAATTATAAAACTAAAGTTAAATAACAATATATAAACTCTGTAATTAACTTTTAGATTATGTATTTGATTTCTTGAGAAAACATTTGAATCGATAATAAGATGACATGTGTTTTAGAAGATTTTTTTTATAAAAACAAATTGAGATATTCCTTGAAATAAAATATCATGAATGGGGGATGCTCTAATATCTTTATACAATTATTTTCCAAATATGAAAAAGTGATTTCTCACAAGATAAATAAGTTTTTTTTGGTACTGCAAAATCTGTTGTTTATTAAAGAGTTGCATTTTATTTTCTTGATTCCGGCCACGGTATCTATTGAACCGAGGCTACGTTGGAACTTGTAAAAGTTTGAGACAACCTATTTATATTACAAACAGGTTCTGCCTTTGAGTCTAAACACAACTACGGATCAGGATTCTTCCAAACAAGAATCAAATTGCCTCTAAAAGATACTGCCGGCGTTGTCACAGCTTTTTACGTACGTTTACATGTTATCTAGTCATTTCATCTCAAATTTTCTCTTTATTGCACTAAAATGAATCTTCAACATTGTGGATTTGTTTCTTTATACATTTGTGTATTGTTTATAGTTGACTTCTAAGGGAAACTCCCACGACGAGCTTGACTTTGAGTTCTTGGGTAATAGAGGAGGAAAACCAATAGCACTTCAAACCAATGTGTTTGCCAATGGCCGAGGGAATAGAGAACAAAAGTATAATCTTTGGTTCGACCCCACCGCAGATTTTCACACTTATGGGATCCTCTGGAATCAATATCAAATTGTGTATGTTTTTTCGCTCTTTTCTCTTCATGCATTTATTTATTTATAAATATTATTACAGAGTCATCTAATTTGTATAAAAGCAGATTGAATCAAAGGAACTGAATTTTCAAAAAAAAAAAAGCAATTTGTATAAAAATACAACTGAATTTTCAAAAAAAAAAAAAAATCATTTACATTTCAGACAAAAGTCACAAAATCATTATAATTTGATAATATTTTTTTCTTTCTCTCTCGATAATAGGTTTTATGTGGACAAAATACCAATAAGGATATTCAAAAATAACAAAAGATATGGAGTAGAATATCCATCAAAGCCAATGAAAGTGGTGGCTAGTCTGTGGAATGGCGAAGAATGGGCAACAAACGGTGGTAAGGACAAGATTGATTGGTCTTATGCTCCTTTTAAAGCCAATT